TCTCCAGGCCCACATGCAGATACGCCCACATACGAGTGAGTACCCGGCGACCCCTGTGAAAGGGTCGTTCAACCCCCAAAGGGGTTGCGACCCACAGGTTGAGAACCGCTGAATATAGTAATCACCATTGTATTTTCCTAATTTCAGTGGGAATATTTCTAAAATTTCACCATTAAATATCACACTTGCTATAAATTTTTGGTTGTTTTCTTTTAAAAAGTTGAAGGAGTTCTCTTCTAGTTATATATTGCTAAGAGTTTTTATAGTTGGGTTTTACATTTTATCAAATGCTTTTTTATTTTTATTTTTTGGTATTGAGGTGATCACAGGGCTTGATTTCTCATTAAGTCTTATGTGCAGTAAGTATATGGTTATTTGTAGCCAATAAGACAATAGCTAACAGTATGGATAATTCAAAAATCATTATTGGCTTCAACATGCAATCTTCATCTTCATAGTCATTAGCTCCTTACTTATGCTAATACTATATTAGCATAGTTTATTAATTTGTAATTCATTAAAAAGTATTTGAGTCATTTACAAAAATATATCAAGAATAAAAGTAATTAGATGAGGAAATCAGGATTACAGAAATGTAAAATCAGAAAATAAAATGAAGCCATGTATTAGAGTAATAAATAAAATGATTATTAACCATAAGATCCTATTCAAAAGTTAGGGTTCATTTATAAGTTTGACTCTGAATTTCCTTGTAGCCAAAGAAAATAGGGGATGTTATCAGTAACACAGTCTACAGTTTCAACCCAATAAAAACAAAACTGACTGTTCGAAAGAAATGTAATGTTCTGGTCTGAGGATCCCCCAGAAAGAGACGTAACCTGTGGATCCTCGTAAAGGGAAAGGCCTGATTGCATAAACTTAATATTGGCATACCTTCTCCAAATTGAAGAAATAAAGGGATGACAGAGGGGAATAATGAAGAATCAGAACAGTATAAAACATTTCCTGGAAATGACACAGATAGTCCATGAATTGGAAACTTGAGGCTCATATTAAGGTAGGTTAAGAAGAGATGATGGCCGCCAGTGTTGGGTGGTTTCGTCTTCTCAGATAACTTTTGGTAGGTGTTGTCTTTTGTTTTAGGAAGCGAAATCAAGTCTAGTTTCAACTCCTTAATATTTTAGACAAAGGCAGGGAGCTCTTCTTTATATTTTTATCTTCTT